TATATATATATATATATATATATATATATTGTCAGTAATCATGTTAATCATTCTGTCCTTTCTCGCTTCGTTTCTCCACCGAACCCTACATATCTTACACAGTAAAAAACATTTTGTATTTGTGTTAGAAACGGTCCACTTAAATCTTTGTTAAAATTTTGTGTTGAAGTGTTAATATATCGGAGTTTTAATTTAACATAATATGTGATTGTGTTATTTGAATATTTTGTGTTAAGTTAAAATTTAACATTTCTCAGTGTTAAAAGAATATAATTTATAGGTAAATAAACATAAAAATAATGTAGTTTTAAAACGTAAATTCTAAGAATAAGTGAATAAAACGTGTGTGTTGATTTAATATTATATTATAAATGTTAATTTTATTGAAGAAATATGTTCTACAACTAGTTACATATTTTATATGTGAAAAGGTACAGATATTTTGTGTTATTTTCTCTTTGTAACAGTAAATATCTGTTAAATCTATATCTATATTAAAATCTATATTCAATCTACATACTGCATGTGTTAAATATCACAGAGGCATCGTCTAAATTAAAAATGTAAAAATAGCATCTAATTTCAGTTAAATTTAACATTATGAATGTCAATTTTTAAAATTTGTTTTTAAATTGTGTCACAGTATTACGTTTTTTGTGTTAATTTCTTACATAATATTTGTGTTACTTTCTAACATATTCATCTTATGTTAAATTAACACAAAAATTTAAGTGGACCGTTTGGGATATGTAAAATGTGTTAAATTTAACACAAACTTTTTTACTGTGCACACTTTTACATTTCATAAATTGTACATTATTTTGTGTTTGTTATTTAATTGTTACGCTATTTGTTAATTTATTATTTAAGATTTTAATATAATACATGAGACGCACATGTATATCTATGAAATATATGTATTTTTATATCTTGTGTGGCATATTTAATACATACTTAATATAACTTAAATAAATGACATAATTAATTCAAAAATAATTTATCAATCAGTCGCGTGATGAATTGATATACTGTAAAGCTCGTAAATTTTCATCAATATCATCACGCTTTCTTTGTGAAAAATATTGTTTGTGTGTGTATGTGTGTGTGTGTGTGTGTGCTGCGCGCGCGTGCGCTGTACAAAGGAAAACAACATTCATGTAAAAGACAATTATTATAAAATGACAATTGCTAAGAAAACTCTGATTATTATCGCAATTTGTCAGTTTTAAATAAACGATAACAGATATGATACGCAAATGTGAAACTCCTTTCTATATTTATCGGATCGACTATTGATCGTCATCATCGTGTCAATCCGTCAACCTTATCAAATTTAACATATTAACTATTTACGAGAAAACGATTTATGAAAAATAAAGTAGGAATCAGTTATTTGCGCATTTAGCATTTAAATAAATTTTGTGTGCCTTCATTCAATTTTATATTCATAATTTTTGCAATTGTTGAGTAGTAATACAATTAATATAATTTATATTAAAATGAATAAAAAAATGAATAAATTTTATATTTAATTAATTATGTGTATTATACGATAAAATGCAATCGATTGTACGCAATATATCTTCTATAGATCTTTACCAACTACGATGATATTTAATGTACTTTCCTGTAACAGGAGAAATATTTATCTTAATCTCTGAAATATTTAACGGTATGTTTGGATAATTTTGAAGATATACAAACTATGTTCCAAATAGTAGCAAATTATTGGCGATATGTTGATAAACATTGAGGATACATAGAGCTAATATTTGAGCTATATTGTGCCAATAATTGTACTACTATTAGGATATTAAATAATAAGCGTATGCAACATGGCTGATAATTAATGATTAAACTCTCTGTAGAGGCAGAATGAACTAAATTGAGTAAAAAAGTCTTTGTAATTTTTGTAATAGTTGACAAGATATTAATTTCCAAAAATCGCCGAATAAGCACGTATCCCTCCGACCGTTAACTATTGCGAAAATTGCAAAATAGTAAAGAACATTTCTACTCAGTTTAATCATTTTGTTTCTATACAAGAATTTAATCATTAATTATCAGACACTCTGTATACATATATTGAGTTTTAATACAGTGTAATATGTACTACCTTATCAAAATATTATCTTTGAGATTACATATGTCTCTTGCGAGACCTGCAACAAACAATTATATTGTATTCTCATTACAATATAATTTGCGAACACATTTTACAATATAGACCTAAGTATTAATATATAACACTGTTTTCGTAATGGCAAAATTAATGTGGTTTTATCAAGATGACAATATGATTTTATCATATTACGTTTTATTTCTCTGTGTAAGCTCTAAACAAATATTTTTACGTATTATATTTTTTTTAATTTTTTTGCGAAATATATGATAAGAAATTTTTACATATAAAATTATTTATTTATAATAAATACATATAAAAGATGTCTTATTACTTCGATGCACTCTTCAAATATCTTTTAAACGATTTCTTGAGGCATTATGACATTGCATTTGATTTATTTCTTTCAACGATAGTCTTATGTCCGTGTTACATTACGCATTGGAGATTGATTGCGAATTAAAGATTAGAATTTGACCAATCAAATAATTTTAATTTAACTCTGTTTTGTTCTAATTGGCTGAATTTTAATCTTCAATTTGCAATTCTCAGTCTCCGTAACATGACACAGGCATTACATTGTAAAAACTATTTTGTATTTGTGTTAGAAACGATCCATTTAAATTATTGTTAAAATTTTGTATCAAATTTTTAACATATGTGATTTTAATTTAACATGGTGATTGTGTTATTTGAATATTTTGTATTAAATTAAAATTTAACATTTCTCAGTGTTAAAATAATACAATTTATAGGTAAGTAAACAAATAACTTAAAAATAATGTAGCTTTAAAATATAAATTCTAAGAATAAATGAATAAAATGTGTTGATTTAATATTATATTATAAATATTAATTTTATTTAAATATGTTCTATACAACTAGTTACATATTTTATGTGTAAAAAGATATTTTGTGTTATTTTTTCTTTGTAACAGTAAATCTGTTAAATTTATATATATTGCATATGTTAAATATCACAGAGGCATCATCTAAACTAAAAATATAAAAATAGTATTTAATTTCAATTAAATTTAACATTATAAATGTGTTAATTTAACATAAAATTTGTTTTTAAAGTGTTACGCTCCTTGTGTTAATTTTTTACATAATATTTGTGTTATTTTCTAATATAATATATTCATCTTATGTTAAAACAAAAATTTGAGTGGACCGTTTGAGATATGTAAAATGTGTTAAATTTAACACAATTTTTTTTACCGTGAGGTGCCTCTACATAATTCGTAAATCGCAAAACATAGTTTGCAAATGCTGAGGCAGAATGATGATCATTGCACGTAAGATACACGCAGATAAAAACCATTCGCACGCAATAAAAAAACAAATAATAATTTTCATTCTGTGTGTTTGCGTTTGTGAACTAATAAAAGTTTTGTGATTTACTAAGGTAGAGGCATCTTAACGTTCGTACAGCTGTACGTTTCAATGATCGTGTATTTAATATCATCTACTATTGACATTATTTGTCCGCACAATAAATAAAGTGGCCGGACATGTCCCAGTTTTCGACTGTTTATTAAAGAAACAGTTATTAGTAAATTATTTAGTTAAAGTATTTATAAATACATAAATCTTAAAATAAACATTTTAAATAAATCATTGATATATTATTTTTTATAAGCCAAAAATCGTTTAGAGTCGTTGTGCAATATTTAATTAAATAAATTTAATTAACATAATTAGCTGAAGTATGTTAAGTATTCTCAATTTCTTAGAAAACCGACGGAAGTCGGAGTAACTACTTCTTCGACAACCCCTTCCATCGATTGCAATTCGAAGGCCTTTTTTTTCGTCGAGAACATGTCTTCGATCTCGCGTAGAGTCTTTCCCTTTGTCTCAGGTAAGAATAATAAGATAAATATTGCGCCGATTAAAGACATGATTGCGAAGAAAAGGAACACGCCATGCATGCTCATCAGCTTTTCCATATCTGGATATGTCTTAACGGTTATCGCACTGAAGAGATAACCTATGGCGACCGTCATGCCCGACAATATATCTTTAACTTTGGAGGGAAATACTTCGCCTACCATAGCGAACGGTATCACCAGAAAACCCAAAGTACTTGTAAATATGTACATCACCATGCAAATCACCGGGACAACTCCATTATCCGCCATGACGGTTCCCTTTTCAGCTAGGAACAGATATAGTGACAAGCCTCCCATGAAGATCGTCATCCCAATACCGGAAATCATTGATGGTATTCGTCGACCGAATTTTCGGGACACACCTGCCGTTAAGAGACTAGCTATAAAACGAGCGATGCCTATCAATACTGCTCCAAGGAAAGGATCCACTTTAACACCTGATTTAGCCATGATTCCAACGGCGTTGTATATGACAACAAAGATCCCGGAGAATTGTTGAAAAAAGAAGAAGCTAAGCATTATGCCGAATGGTACGAGAGAGCTCTTTTTTATCAGATGCTTCAGCACGTTCTGATTCTTCTTCTGCGGACGCGGTTTTAGTTCAAACAAGACTTCTGCCGGTGCCGGCTCATCCTTTGGTATTCCGCGGAACTTTTTCATTATCTCCAGCGCTTCGTCGGGCCGATTTCGATCCCTCAACCACAGAGGACTCTCAGGTACCACCAGTAAAGTGAGGGCGATCGCGCACAATGGAAATAGAGCGCACATTAAAGCCACCAGTCGCCAATTATCCTTTGAGGGAGAACAATTATGCATTAATATATTATATATCTATTGATTATTGCGACAAATATTACTACATGCCTTGGTCAAATTGAAAAAGACGGCCCTGGTTGGTGATATTTTTTGCAATAAGTTCTTTGCAGTGTTATAAGATGCTTATTAGCATCATTATTAAATTGACGATTAATTATTTTGAGATATTATTATTTCAGCTTTATTTTATAATAGCGTTTCAAATCTGACAGTAATCAGCGTACAGTTTATCGAATTGAAATATGTATTTAAAATTTACATGGAAATATTATTAGAGATTCAGCCTCGACCATATTTGGTGCTTCTTATTTATTTGTGATATTTATAATATATTACATATTTAATTCTAATTTGATATTAATTGTGCATTATTATGCTTATTGTTTGTAAACATTTACCTGAAAAATATATCCGAAGATATAAACAATGAGAACACCAAGAGCGATAGAGATACTGGTCCATGTAACCATCGAGCCTCGCCATTTTGATCCCGCTATTTCCGCCGCATACACTGTCGTCGGAACAGACGCCATGCCAGTGGATATTCCGGAAATTGATCTCCCAACTAAGATTTGTACATAACTGTTCGACATGTAAATAATCACCCAGCCCGCCATTGAGATCAATGATGTCACAAACATGCTAATCTTTCTTCCTCGTCCCATCACGACGCTCGAGAGTAGACAACCAATAGGTGTACCCAACGCCGATACAGTAGCTGTTGCGCAAATATAATAATCATTTTTTACTACAATAACTTTAAAATTTATTTGAGTAGTCTATATGCAAAAAAGCAGTTATAATTAAAAATATTTAAAAAAATTGAAAAAAATAGTGGAATCGTTGGATTCCTTAGCTCTTGGATTATGAATTGAATTAAATATTTAAAAAATATCTGAAACAGTTACAGTATAAAGTAAAAAATCATAGAAAAAAAAGTGTATCTAATTGCAAAAGAAGTTAAATTATCTCTATATAGGGAGAAGAAAAAAAAGTGTATCTAATTGCAAAAAAAGTTAATTGTCCGAATCCCTACTGTTGCAGTTATATCCATCAGTCATTCAATAAAAATAGCGAATGTTTTGTTTCAAAAATGAGCTGAAATTCTTTTAGCTACAAAATTTTTAATAAAAACGATAAATTTTTCTTAATTTTTATAATAAAGGTCTTATTCATAGCTTAAATAAGAAAAATTATACAAGTTTTTTGCCATTGCCAAAAAAACTTTCAGTAGGAATAACGACTTTTGCCAATGGACTACTTATTTTTAATAATTCAAAATTGCAAAGAATTCGTTGAAGGAATGAATTTTTTATGACACTAACCCATCCAATTTGCTTGATTAGCATCGAGTTGTAAATCACCATCAGTCTTATTTGCTCTCATCGCAGGTTCTGCTACAGCGCTGTAACCGAAACCCATTGCTGGACCCAACACCACAACATTGGCGCATAAGGCCATCAATATCTGTAAAAGAAAAACTACGAATAAGGCGATATAAAAGTACGAAGAAGTTAACGATATCGGGAAACTGTTGATGACGACGTAATGGTAGCAATACGAATAAAAGTTTTAAAAAAATATTTGTATTCGCAGTAGGGATAAAGGACAGCTTTGAATCAGGTAGAAATCGGCGATATCGGGAAACCCATGATGACGTAATGATAGCTATACAAAAAAGAAAATATTTGTATTTGTAGTGAAAGGTAGAGTTTCTACAAACTTCTCTATAGAGAAAACGTATAACTAACATAGATTACTTATAGCTGCAAAATATGATGTGAAAAATAGTGTAAATAGATATGGGAGATATTGCATAGTTACTATCAAAGGAAACAGATTAATTAAACATCGAATTTTTTTATCTGAATAATTTTCTTATCGCGTCAAACTACAGCTATTACACATGCAAATAATATTAGAATCGAATGAATATTAACGTATTATCATTGAGATGAAAAAGACGTAGCCAGCAATTACATACATTTTAAAATCTCATGTGAATAAAATTATACTCATAATCAGTTTAAAAGCTGAACATAATATAACACGTAGAGAGTTTTTTATGCATATTTTCAAGATATCAAGATAAAACTTGAAAAATCGTACAATATACAGATAGAGTATATCTTATCATTACTAATCTTAAGATTTAGAGTTTAGTGGGACGTCAGAGATAAGTAATCGATAAAAAATTGTTTACATACAACCATATAAAATTATACTTAAAAAATACAGGGTATTTGGAAAATAATGATAAATCTTTCGCATAGAGATAGAATGGACTAAACTGAGAAGAAAAGTCCTCTACCATTTTGCAATTTTCGCAATAGTTAACAAGATATTAATTGCTAAAAATTACCGAAAATTGGTTTTCAATAATTTTTTACTCAAATACTATCAACTTTACAGAAAAATTGCAAGAAATGGAAATTGTTAATTTTTTTCTCACAGAACTTTATAAATTTTTTCAGAATTTTTTATCAACTTTTTAGTATTGCATTTTCTCATTTTTATTAACATGAGAAAATACCGTATTAAAAAATTTAGAAAAAAATTCTTAAAAAATTTTTTAGACCTCTATAAGAAGAAAATAAACTATTTTTGTCTCTTGCAGTTTTTCTGTAAAGTTGATAGTATTTGAGTAAAAAATTATTAAAGACCAATTTTCGGCAATTTTTAGTAATTAATATTTTGTTAACTATTGCAAAAATTGCAAAATGGTAGAGGACTTTTCTTCTCAGTTTAGTTCATTCTACCCCTATGCAAAAAATTTATCAATATTTTCCAAAAACTCTGCATAATTACGTATAATGTACAGGGGGTCAAATTCGAGAATCCAAATATTATAGCAGAAAAATTTTCGAAAAATTAAGAAAAAAAGTTACTTGTACACTTTTATTTTATAAGCAATATTTTTAACCCTTTATGGTTACCAGAGGTTTATGGAATCTCAAAAACAGTTTGGCTTTATATCTTTGAAAATTAATATATATTCTTACACTAAATAAATACTCTTTTAACAACTTTACATTATGTTATTTTAAAAAACGGTTTCCTTTATTCTTCAAAATACCTTTTTGGAACGTGAACTATTTTTTTTCCGAAAAAGTCATACTTTTAGAGTTTTATATATATAACTCTACATAAATTTTTATCAAAGATATTAAAAATTTAAACAGTAATAATGTTTCTTTTTGTAAAAACACACATTTTTCAAGAACTTTTACCTTTTTTATAATATTTTAAAATTAAAATTAAAAAAACCATCTCATTTCTATATTCTACACAATGTTTAAAGTACATTCAGTAATTCTTGTGATTTTAAAGAATAAAAGCTGTAAATGGCAATTAATTAAATGTGTTGGGATTCATTTTGCCTTCTGTGTAGTCGACATAAAGTTCTCAAGAGACGTGACCATGAAGGATTAAAATACTACAGATTTAAGTATAATCAATTACAGACTACGTTTGACGGAAATCTGAGCATAAATCGTGCATATGGTAATATTATAGCAAATTTGGTTGTATGCACTCAATGTGTACTGGTGGACACTAAAGCTGTCGTAAATAAATTGATGTAAAAATGTGCATGTGTTAGCATAAATATATAAATGGATTATATTATACCTTGAAATTCTCAATACATTTTATTATGCCGTTAAGTAAAAGATGTATTTTATAATTTGAAATATTTGAACCTCACTTTTACGCAGATTAAATTATTTTACAACGGTCTTAACCTTAGTAAGTCATTGTTATTTTTGATTACCTTCCCTATCACATCAGAGTTTGTGAAACCCTGCAACTTTGTCACGCTGTATCTCTGAACCAAATAGGTATTTTTTTTTAGTTTAAAACGCGTGAAATTTATACTCAAAGTCAGGCGAAGACAGATAAACATATGAAACAAATAAATAATATTTTATTTTTAATTAATTACAATACTTCACAGAAATGTTATTGGAAAAATTCGCAAACAATGATTACTTTGGAAAAAAATTCTAAAATGTTTAAATTTAATTCGGGTCTTCAAATTATATTATAAAAAAGCAATGCAAAAAAATCGCACAGGATACGTTGAACAATGGTATACTAGAGCGCATTATAATGCGTCCAACCGAATTCGTTATTAATGAGCGTTGGTGAGCCACACATTAGCACTCACTAATACTCAGAGACAACCGTACTGCACGTACTCTGTAATTGACCGAGTTCTTTAATCTTTATATCCCAAAAATCACTGAAAATAAAAATTTACAAATAATTTTTTATTTAATTTTTCGAGAATTTTCTTGCTATAGTTTTTTAATTTGCCAACTTCGGACTGTAAAGTAAACGTTCTAATAACATGTACCTACTCATGTCTAAACATTTACATAAAACTTTATTATTTAGTTAGAGTTAAAAGAGAATGAGCTCTAGAAATATAACGTATAAAAAAATTGATAGATAAGTAAAAATATCTTATTTAATTATTATAAACTTTAATAAAACATGTATTTATAATCATTTATTTCTTTGTATTATTATTAATCTCAAATGCTTTTTTAAATGTAATACTAAAATTAACTGTAATCTTTAAATACAATAAATTATAATTGATAGTTAGTCAATGTGTCAGGTAATTCCTAAAAAGATTCAATTTTTATTGTAGTTGAGTAATAACTTTTCTTTATTCTCGGTAGATAGAAAAAACACCTTAATTGAATATATTAAAAATAATAGAGAACAATTTTAGGAAAATGAGAACCTGGAATATATTGACTACCAGAAACTTAACTATCCTGATTTTAAGAAAATTTTTATCTGCGCCGCGTTATTGAATAATGCGCTGACAAAAAAAATTAAACATATTGGTAAGGTACACGTCGCAATTTGTGAAAGACAATCCAAACATAATTTTTACAAAAGCAGCTAAAGAAAATATCACGGTAGCGTTGGATAGAAATACATATATTGGAAAAATTACTCAAATGCTTCAGGATCCAGGACACACAAAGTTGATGAGAAATCCGTTACATAATTTAACAAAAAGTGTTTGAAAATTACAA